CATGTTCACTCCAACGTGTACCCTACGTCTTCATTATTTTCCACGAAAATAAACTGCACCTTAAATATATATATATATATATATATATGTTCTAATAAATTATTTTGAGATTTCTAATAATTAATATTAAATTTATGGATTTATTTTAAATTATTTTATGTCATCTACGAAGCCTGTGTATGGGACTTGTCAACATGGTGGTAAAAAGGTTAATTTTAAGGAAAATAAAATAAAATTTATAAAAAAGACCACACCATTCATAAGTGTAACTCTCCTCAAATATTGTATAATATATAGCTTACATTACGTTTCAGTCATATAAATTTTTCTTAAAAAAATTCAGTAACTTAAAAAGTAGATATAGAGAGAGAAACGGCACGAATGGCTTACAGGGACTCCCTCGAAGTTACTCAATTTCGTTGTATTATTGTTTGTGAATTATGAATTTGAGCTTTGAGCTTTATTCTATGGTTGACTGGGATGGATGTGAATTGAATTGGCTTGCAACGTGAAGCTCGTCTTCGTCAAACTTTTCTATACTTTCATTTCAATTTGATCAACTTACTCCTTCTGGGGACTTTGATGCCATATATATCGCTAATAACAACTCAGAATGGAAATTCTAAGCCACGTTTCGATGAGAAATTCTCACGGAAATGTCTCACAGTGCCAATTACACGAGGGTCCTGGAAAAGGAGCGATTGTACATTCGCACTTGCCTTCTTCTCATCTTGTCTACATTTCAAAAATCTAACGTATATTAGTCAAAAATGAACGCACTGTGCCATTTACACAAGGGCCCTTGTGAAAATAGTGTTTGTACTCCTCTTGCCTTGTTATCTATATTTCATAAATCTAACTATTATTAAAGTCAAAAAATCAGCGCGCGCTATAATGTCTCATATTTGACTGTTTTGCACGAAAGACACCAATTTCTTTCCACAAAATAGATTTTGTATCTATTCATTAAACAAGTGAAATCAATATAAAAATTATAACTTATATTAATTAACTAAAATCAATATTCATTAAATTCAAATCTAAATTTAAATTCAAATCCTTATGCATCCAAAAGCACCCTGATAAAAATAAAATTAACTAAAATAAAATCATGAATTAATAGAAAAATGTAAATGATAAGGAGAGAAGAGCTATGGAATGATAGAGAGGTGACAATGAAGATTAACATGAATAAGGACATTAATCCTCACTCTCACCTATCATTCCATATGGCTTGTCTTTCTCTCTCATTTCCACCTTATCAAAAAAACCTTAATTTTGTCTATTTTAATTTATTTTCTATCAAAGGTTAATGGGCATTTTGGACCCTGAAGTGTTATGCGAAAAGTTCCTAAGACCCTAAACTCCTAAGTGTCCGTTTGGATTTCAGTTGAGTATAATAGATTATAAAAATAATTAATTAAATAATAAATATTAATTATACTTGATTATGTTATAACATAATTTGTTTGGATATTGTTTTTCTAAAATTAATTTTAAAAAAATTGAAGATGTTTGGATAATTTATTCAGAATCAATTTTAATTGTATAAATTACCATAAAGGACATTACATTTTAAAATTAAATTATTGATAAAATTGTATCTAATATTATTAAAGTTGTTACATTTCATTTAAGAAGTAAAATATATTAATAGTTTTATTTTTATTAAACTTTGGGCCTTTTTTATAATTTTTCTTGAGCTTTCTTTGTAATTTTTCCTAATGCTTTTTGATCGATTACCCACAGACGCTTGAATTGCCAGCTTTTGAGAAAAATCAATTTTAACCAAAAAAATTGATTAAATGAAAATCATGTGTTTGGGTATTTGTTTGGTTAATCTATTTTTTCACTGAAAAATATTGATTATTTTGCTTAACCAAACAGGTATTGAAATATGCAAAAAGGACTCTAAACTTCTAGATTTGTAGCAAATTAGTGAGGCCTAGTCAATATGCTAATGTAGCAATATTTGCTGATGTATTATTTGTTAATGAGCATTATAAACTCTAAACTATTGCATGAGTAGCATCCTCTAATAGTTTAATTACAAATGATGAATACAAAAGCTGATGATTTTATCAATGGATTTTAAATCCAAATTAATTGATTAATAAAAATCCTCTAATATTTAAATTTCTTTTCAAATAAAATCCCAAATTTTCAATATTAAATAAATAAATTATTTAAAATAAAATTAAATCATAATTACAAGGTATATAGAAGCATGAGATATCAATTATTTAAAAAACACTGTAAAAAGAAGTAAAAAATGTCATTGTATAAAATTTTGGATCGTTCGTCATAAACAATGATGTGTTTGTCAAGGATATTAATTTTTGTAAATTTAGCATTACAATGAAATTAAAATGTTCTATAGTCTCCAAAAAATTAGCCGCAAGACAAGAATATCTTCAGAATCACAAAATCCAATTCACTTTCTCATCAGGGAGGATTCATAACAAGCATTACCTGCGTCCCTTCTACCTGAAACGTCGCCAGGTGCCAATTTATAGAAGGGCTCTCTTGAAAAAGAGTGATTGTACCTGCCTTTTATCTTATCTACTTTTTACAAATCTAAAGTTTATCAGTTAAAAAACAAAAATCAACGCAAGCTATGTAAAAATAAGAAATCGGTGCTAAACTCAAATTATTGTATTGTATAGAGAACAAAAAAGGGAAAATTACGTACGTTTAGGTGTCTACATGATTAATTAAACACTTTAATGTCATGTTTGAATGCATGTGGATTTGGATTTAGATTTAGATTTGAGCCAAATTCATTGTTTGGGGTAATTAAAAATGTATGGATTTGGATTTAACCCAAATTCAAATTCAAATCCTTCCTCAATCCCTTTTGTAATTTTAATTTTTTTTGTAAATATCTATTATTTTAAATTTTAATGGAAGTATCTCTCTTCCTTCATGTTCGTTCATCAATTTTGCTAACTCCTTGATTATGACATCACTATTTTTGACTGACTTCCATTGAGACCAAATTATCGGTGTTGACTAAGACCAAACAACTAACTTTGATAGAAACCACAAGTGACAATCAAGATAGAAATGCCAGCTCCAACTGAGACCAAATCACCGGCCTCGATTGGGACCTGACAAGCAACGTCGACAGGGACCAAACTGCCTATGATGACCAAGTTTAGGAATTTTATATTTCAATTCACTTTCAACCACTCTCCTCCATCGGGTGCCACTTTACATCATCATCGTCATTTGATGCCATTCTAGTGCTGTCATCTAGTGTCGATTCGCTATTATCATCTAGTGCTGGTCCATTGCATCTAACAAGTGTCGGTCTACCACTGTCGCCGCCATTATTGTTTGGGACTAGTATGTGATTGCCACCTTCAATCCATCCACCTTCGTTATCCGGTGCCAAATAATGTCATCTTTTAGGTCTAATCTGTAGCCCTTTAATTGTTGTAATCATCTCATGCTAATCCGTAAGCATTGTTTGGAATCAAATCTCCAATGTATATTGGGATTGGATAGTTGTTGTTGATGGAGACTAGACCATAGATATCACTTGGGTTAGGATAGCCAAAGTCAATTGGGACCGAGGTGCCACCCTTAATCTAGGCTAGATCACCAACTTTGATTAGTATTGAACCGCTAATGTCATCCAAGTTGTCTCTAAATTCAAACATAAAATTTAAAATTTAAAATTTTATTTAAGATCCAAACAAAAGATTTTTATATTATCAATTAAAATTTTTGATATCATCCAAATAAATAATTTAAAATCTATGAATTTCAATTGTGAAATTTTAAATATAGGATTTAAAATTTAAATTCTCAATCTAAATCCACCCATCAAAATGTAACTTAAAGTTGATTGATAATTGAACATATCAAAATAATAATATAATTAATTGTCATTTTACTAAACTTAATTGTTAATATATCTTATGATAATTTAATTATGTTATTGTAGAGAACTTGGTTGTACTTTCCTCAATGAAAAATTCGGGGTGCATAGAAATTGAGGGGCCTCTCTCAAATTTATTGTATTTGTGGACTTAGAGTGATCAAATATTTTGTTTGTAACCTTCCACGGGCGGCACACTATTCCCCTGCATTGAATTGAGGACCGCCAGGAAATGCAAGCCGTCTGGGTCAAACCTGCCTTTATAGTCTTTGGATTTAAACGCGTGCTCACACCGAAACCAATTCCTTTTGAATTGGCCGGGGAAAAAAAAAAACCAAAAAAAAACAGAGAAGAAGTCAACAATAAGGGGCTGTTCTGAAGTCTACAAGTGGGGCATCCCACGTGCTGTCGCTAAAGTTTCTTTTCTTCAGTTCACTTTTATTTAATTTATATTTTATAGTAAGTTAATTTATAATATTTAAAAATTATATATTCTTTATAATTTTTATGCTTGTTTAATAAGGTGTTTTAATTAAAAAATTTCAATAATTGCATTCATTAAGAATATTTCTAGGAAAAAAAAGTTATTATTAATTAATTACTATACCTTAAAAATTGTAAAAGATTATATTTTTTAACATGATGTTTTAGAAAGAAAATATAATATTCAACGAAAGGAAAGAGTCTACTATAATACACAACTAACCTTATTAATTGAAATTCTTTTTGAATAATCAAGATAAGGGGACTGTCCTAAAGTTCACAAGACTGCGTGCCACTTGCCTATTAATAAAAGTCATTTCCTTTAATATTATAAAATATTTTTAACTAATCTACATCTAACAATGATATAGTTAATGACATTTAAAATTATTTTTTTTAGTATTCACTCTTGTTTAATAGGATACTCAACTAAAAATCTTATTAATTACATTCCTATTTAAAGATTTTTTAAAAAAATTTATTAATTATGTCTTGAAACACTTAAAACGTTTTATATTTTTTACATAATACTTCAAAAAAGTCCTGTAATCTTGAAAGCATGCGCAGCACCAGCCTATATAGCTTTTATTACCTTTCCCCCCACTTAATTTCCGAACACGAGAGAGGCGATATGGGGCTGAAGCTACTCTTCCTCATTCTATTAGCTGCAGCCATGGCAGAAGTAGAAACTCAATCATCCCTTGAAGGCTGTCCCAGAAAATGTGGAGACTTAGAGATTCCATATCCATTTGGCGTGGGAATACAACCTAGTACGGGTGTCAACTGCTTCTTGGAGGAGTCGTTTAATCTCACCTGCGACAACTCCACATCTAAATTACTCTACAGAGACAATCTCCAAATTTCTAGCATATCCCCACAAGCAGGTCAAATGGAGATTCTCATGAATATCTCTAAGATCTGTCAAAATCGATCAGGAGTAGGTCTTGTCCAACATCTTCGCACCGATGATTTCACCGTTTCCAGCACGCAAAACAAGTTCGTAACTATTGGTTGCGACACCTTGAGCATAACCAGGGCCCAGAATAGCTTACGACAGAACGAGAGCTATTTCAATGGCTGCGCAACGCTGTGTGAAAAACCTCCTCCTGAAGAGTTGAATGATAAAACTTGTACAGGAACTGGATGTTGCCAGGTAGATATTCCTGCTGGGATGAATAGTATCAATTTTACAGTATCAACAGTCAACTTTACCAACGTTTCGAGTTTCAACAATTGCAGTTATGCTTTTGTTGCCAAAAGCGACTGGTTTAAGTTCTCTGTTGATTATTTGGACTATTTTCCCCATGAGACGGCCCCTATAGTCCTGGATTGGACGGTTTCAAATCTGACCTGTCGAAATTCTTCGATTTCGAGTGATCACTGTGCCTGCAAAGACAATACAGATCTGGTTCGCTCTGACGATGGATATGGGTACAACTGCAAATGCAAAACTGGTTTTGAGGGAAATCCATATCATCCAGATGGATGTCGAGGTAATTCTCTATATACTTCAATTTCTATTCTTTCATGCCCCTCCCACATTTATGAAACCTACTCCAACCTGCTATGTGTTGTTGATCCAGCGTGTTTTATAAAATTTAATGAAACATTATTTTTAAAATTATCATGGTCTATTTATTGCGAGTCTCATATATACAAGAAATCCTCACAGGTTATGTATGGATATGATTTATAAGTTTAAGTGACTATTTCACCCTCTAGGCTAGTTTTTAAAGGATGATATTTTCTTTTTAAACTTGTGCTTAGAACATTGGGCTTCTCATGGAAGACTGATGTCATATTAAAGACTACCCATTAATCGTTCTAATTGGTAGGAGCTATATAAGTCTTACATCAAATAGTCTCATAAATGAAGTAGAGTTTATAAATTTAAAGCACTCTTTACTCATTAGGCTAGTTTTTGGAATAGATTTTTCTTTTGAACTTATGCTTGAAACACTAGATTATTTTGAATTTAATTAATGCTTTTTTTCCCTTCTTCTCCTCTCCAATGAGTTATATCAATCATACAATATTTTTAAAAAATGTAATTTTTTATATTTAATAAAATTTAACTAATTTCTGCAATTTCACAAAGTAGTTAACACCTTTAAAAATGATAGGAGGGATTATATAATAGTAATATTTTTGCTAATAAAAATATTTAGTACTCCATAGAATATGTTTTACTCTCTCCATTTAACAATGTAAGGCATTTTTTAAGGAGTTAGATGTTAAAAAAAATGTAAGGCATTTTTAGTCTTTTGATATATAATTATTGCCTTTTTTTTCTTAAAAGTGTTCCTATTAACGAATGACTTTATATTTATTGTAGGGTGTTTAATAAAGGTAAATATAAAAAGATCAGATTAGTTTGAAAGTAAGTAACTACTTTATTGAGGGTAAAATTTAGTTAGAAATATCTTACATTTGTGAACGGAGCAAGTATAATTTTTTTATTTATCCAAAGCACATGGCATTTTGTAGCTTTAAGAAATATCTTTTCAATTTTGCCCCTATATTTAGTAATTTTCATTAGATTTGGAGCAAAATTGAATTTCCTTAATTAACGCTTGTTGGAAGTATCCTATATTATTGCGGATGTAATACTCGATTCTATATGCAAGTCCATTCTCAAAGAATTTCATGATTTTTTTTATAATTCACTTTTTTATATAAAAAGATGAATTATTAATTACTTTATTCTGAATTCATCTTTCACAATTTTCTATAAATAGAAAATACAAAGTTGCATGAAGAAAACAATTTTTTTAAAATGATATATTTAATAGAGACAAATTGAAAAAAAATAACATAATATCAATAATTTAACTACATCTTTTTAATTTTAGGGATGAAGTTACATCTTTTTTTATTGAAACAATGATAATTAGGGATCCTCTAAGGCCATAAATTACAATTACGGATCCTAAATTATTAAAATCCCAATAATGAATCATGGTCCTTAATTGAAATTAAAAAATATTAATAATCTAAAATGCCCCTCAAAAGCAACTTTAGTAAATTTTTAAGTGACTATTATATATTCACAAGTATTTTTGGAAAGTTTTAAAAGTAAATTTTAGTTGCATCCTAAAAAACAATCCATTTTCACCTATTGTTCATCTATTTCCCAACTAAGATTAACAATATTTCCATCCTATAATATTTCAGCAATGTCATTTCCTTATTTTTTTAACTAATTTATCTATATATTAACAAGTATAAAAATTCACAAATAATTGGATTTAAATTCAAAAATAATTTTAGTAAATTTTCAAGTGACTATTGTATATTTACAAGTGTCTTGGAAAGTTTCAAAGGTGAATTTTAGTTTCATATTAGGAACAAACCATTCTAAATTATTAACTAAGATTAACGATATTCTCATTCAATGATAATAATTTCAACAATATCATTTTTTAATTTTTCAAGTAAAACGGTAATTTTATAAACTCATATATATTTTTAATTTTAATTAAGGACTATGATTCATTATTAAAATTTCAATAATCTAAGATTCTAATTATAATTAGTTAGGGTTCCCCAATTGTATTTTCCCTTCTTTATTTGACTGATATAGTTAAAAGTCACTTGTAATACCGTTTTCTCCATTTCAGATTTTGATGAGTGCAACGCAAGCAATAATTGCAGTATCTCAACGCAGGCGCTGTGTCACAATTTCGATGGTGGCTACAGCTGTTCTTGTCCACCTGGATACACAGGCGATGGCTATGTTAATGGAACACACTGCACTTTGAAGGCTTCATCTCATTCAAATTTGCGCATTCTTATAATAGCACTAGGTGAGAAAAACCACTCTCTGTTAAGTATATTTTTAAAGATTAATATTTTTGGGATCATTTTTTAGTTAAACTGCATTTTTACTTTCTTTTTTATTTTAATAATATCTTATTAAAATATGAATAATTTAATACTAGTATGCATTAATTTAAATATCATTATTATTTTCAAACCTTCACACACAATTTAAAGTGTCGACTTTTAAAATTTAAAAATCCTGAAAAAATTTACAACTTAACTCGTACTACAAGGTTTACTGGAGTTTTATTATTTTTATTAAAACATGTGATCACAGTTTATTGTAGATCTATCAGAATGGTTATTATTTATGTCTTGCACCCATCTTGAAAATGCCTTATTTATTTAAATGATGATTCGTTTTTGTCCTCAGATTGGAGTGAATGATTCACTAAAAATAAATGAAAGATTTTCATCTTCCTATAATAACATTTCAGTTAAAATTCAAATCCTTTTTCTGAAATTTCATTTGGTTGGCAGGCATTGTTGTTGTCTTATTGGTTGTCTTCACATTAGCTTCCACAACATGTTTGGTACATAAGCGAAGAACCTTGAAACAAATCAGGCAAAGAAATTTTGAACAAAATGGAGGAAACTTGTTGCAGCAACACATTTCACAACAACAGAGCTACGCTGAAAGAATCAAGATATTTACAGAAATTGAGCTCAAAAATGCCACAAACAATTTTGATGAAGGTAGAATTCTTGGTTGTGGGGGACAAGGCATAGTTTATAAGGGAATATTACCGGACAATACACATGTTGCCATTAAGAAGTCCAGAGTAGGAGGAGATGCCCGTCAAATTAAAGATTTCATCAATGAAGTGTTTGTGCTTTCCCAAATAAATCATAGGAATGTGGTCAAAATTTTAGGGTGTTGTCTTGAAACTGAAGTTCCTTTATTAGTTTATGAGTTTGTGGACAATGGTACTCTTTTTGACCACATAGACCCATCAAAGACTGGACATTTTATTACATGGGAAAGTCGATTAAGAATTGCCGCAGAAACTGTGGAGGCTATTTTATATTTACACTCTGCTGCTTCTATTCCCATTATTCATCGTGATATTAAATCCACCAACATTCTTTTAGACCACAATGACAAAGCAAAGGTGTCGGACTTTGGAGCTTCAAGACTTGTTCCTCTTGATGAAACTCAAATTACCACTGTCGTGCAAGGGACACTAGGATACTTGGATCCAGAGTACCTTCACACTGGTCAGTTGAATGAGAAGAGTGATGTTTACAGCTTTGGAGTTGTTCTTGTGGAGTTACTCACTGGGAATAAAGCAGTTGCATTCAATAGGCCAGAACTAAGAAATTTGGCAATGTACTTTGTATCTTCTGTGAAAGAAAACTGCTTGTGGGAAATTCTTGATAGGAGATTAGAGCAGAAGAAGAATGCAAAGCAGCTAAAGGATGTAGCCTTATTGGCTTTGAGGTGTCTGAGAGTTAATGGACAGGAAAGACCCACTATGAAGGAGGTAGCATTGGAGTTACAAAACATGATTGCAGTGGAAATGCATCCTTGGGTGAAGGATGAGGCTATGAAGGAAGAAGAGGCTATGAAAGTAGAAGAAAGTGAATACTTACTTGGTCACGTACCTAATGGATATGGGGATGCCAGCACTAGCATTTCAGTTGCCAGCCATGATAGCACACAAAAGCAGATAGCATTTGAGATTGCAAATGGGCGATGATCTTTTTAGCATTTAAATATGTGTTTTTGTGCGTTTCTCCTTGTTTCTTTCATAGGGAAATATGTGAATAATGGTAGGGTTTCAGTTGGCATTGTATTAGAAGAAACCAATAAGGTATTTGTTTGGATCATACACTTAGGCTTTCTTAATAAGATATAACAACAACAACAAGCTTTATCCCATTAAGTATAATGATATTATGCTTTATTAACAAAGCTTTCTTAATAAAAAATATTTAATTTAATATTTGTTAATTAAGACCTCTCCCCCCGTCACTATTTCTTTTGTAATTAGTAATTAGCTAAATTGTGCATGTATGTATGTGTAATGCCAATGTGCCATAGTGCAGTACTTTAGTCTAAAAAATATAAAAATCCCCCTAAATTAATGCAATTGCACATAACTCTCCTCATTTTTAAATGTTTAAAATTAATCTCCCTAATTTTTTAAGCTCCCCTCCCTATTGCTTTTAACTTTGTTATCTATAAACAAAGTTTGTCATGTTAGATTAATGAAATACACATGATAGTTAATTTGGTAAAAATATTTAAATTATTTTTGGCTTAATTTAAAGAAGAACCTATGAATAAAAATTTATCCTTTAAAACAAGAAAAACATGCACCACATGACAACAAATATGGATAAAATTTTTATAAAGTTATTGTTAGCTTACATAAGATATTACATAAGCTGCTGTATGTCTTATTATAACATAACAACTTCTATTAACAAGATAACTGAGAAACAACATTAAATGAGTTTATGATAAAATAACATTAGGAAGGTTAATTTTAAACTTTTAAATGTGAAAGAAGTTCTATGCAATTGTTTCAAAGTTTAAAGAAATTTTTTATATTTTGTCCAAAAATATATAAATGGTGAGCAACTTGTTAAAATATAATGGTGAAGAAAATGGAGTGAAACACACACACACACACGTATATTTTTTGTTTGTGAGAAACCAAAAATATCACAAGGGAATTGATATAATTTAAAAGAAAATCATGTTGAAGGCTATGTATTCCTTCCAATCCTTATTATAAGAAAATTTTTTAATTCTTAATATAAGGCACATTATTTGTATTACTTATAATTTTTTTAATATTATTCATATTTAAATTCGTTAACTATGATAGAAAATGTAATACAAATTTAAAACTTTTTAAATAGGGGCAAAAATGAAAGGTTATTATATTTTCAAACAAACTTAATAATTTAACTACCTTAACCTGGTTCCAGAAGTAGTTGGTAGTGTCTTATAATAAGGATTAGTAGATTAATTTTATATCAAGAGTCAAATTGTAAGGAACCCAATTATAGAATAAATGCATAGAATGGAATTGATTGCATCTCCAATATAAATTAGTTCAATTAAAACACATTTCCAAATCATAAATATGATATAATTTAAAGCAATTACTGTAGATTTGAAATCATGGCATGTATGATTTTTTTTAAAAAAACCTGGTGACTCACATTATTCTGCCACATCATTAGGCTGATGTGGAAGTATATCATTTTGACATGTCATACTAATTATTGCCATTGCTTTTGTGCGTGTAGAATAAATATAGAATACAGATACGTAATACGTGTGATTTTTCAAAATTAAAAAATTTGATAGTTAAGATTACTCTCAAGGGAAAAGTTTACTCCAAATATACTCCTCTTGTCCTATTCCAAGGGCAAAGAGAGAAAAAAAATTAGTCCTATTTATAGAGAACTTTTCAATTTTTAATACTTCTCTTTAGATTTTTATCCTTATTAAATGCTTTAAATAAAAATATTAGCAATGAAATTTAAGAATATTTATTAGAGATAAAGGTAAAAACTTATTGAATTTTAAGATAAAGTTAATGAGGTTTAAGATTTTGTTTGATTCCAATAAAACATACTAGAAGTTACTTATACATAGGACTAGAAAAAATATTCGACATAAGGGTAAATTTAAACCATCTGGTCAAAGCTCAAAATATTAATTATGATTGAGCAAACTTCAATAAAAGTTCAATTGATATTTACTTAGCATTGAATGACCTAATATCCAATTTTCGCAAAATCAGAATCGCTTCCATTTTTGTAGCCAGAAATCAATAAATTACTCAGAACGGTAAATTAAATTACATTTGAAGAATATATATATATATATATATATTTTTTTTTTTCAAAGTTCTATCATTTTATAGGATATTTACTTAGCATTGAAAGTTCTATTCTCACTCAATTTTTACTCATTCTCTCTCCCTGACCATCACACTCAAGGTCAGGGTACGATTCTCTCTTCCATTATCTTTTTCCAGTAGTATGAGTTACGTGATCTCATGCTCTGTGACACCAAAAATTATATATGTATTGAATGCGTGAACATGACTTTACCATGAAAGGGTGGGAAAGAAGGAGCTATGGACTGTCTGTACGAGTTCGTGTATAAATATGCAGCTTCTCCGATGCCTCGTCACGCCACCTGTAAGGACGTTGGTGGACATCGTTTTTGTGAATGTGACATTACTTGTTGGTGATCATCAACATCCACCATCAATTAATTCAAATATATATTATAATAACCTAATGAATCTGATACCTAGACCTTGAGTTCCCGGTTCATGTTATAATTAATCTCATTTTAGCCTGCTTTATTTTTGACATGCTTTGCTTATTTGAATATATAGCTTGGATTTCCTTCATATCGATCACAGTTTGGGCATAATTCTACAGGTTTTTTTTTTTTGAAAAAAAAAATCATTTCGATGAATTTTAGGAGGTCAAGGAAGCCAAATACACAAATGATGCCCTGACGATATTTTGTTGGAAGTAAAATGATCAATGTTTAAAACATGACTCAACCGGTTAAATTGAGAATTAGCTATCTAGTTACTGATTCGGTTAACTTGGTAAGAGACTGGTTAACTTGGTCAAAACAGAATTAACAAGTTAAGATCAAACCTACTCATACAGGTCAATCGCGCGGTTTGATCATTGACCTTTGGACTAGTAGTCTAGTATCTTGCCCGGTCTAATGGCTGATCTTATTTTTAAAAACCTTGAAAATGATGCGTTGATACTTGATATATACCATAAGCTGTAGCTAGGATGCTATTATAAAATTAATTAACTAAGTTTCATAAAAATTAATTAATTAGAAGAATTAATTATCTAATCCCTTTATAATTTAGTATATCAGTTACACACACACACACTCATTAATTGCGTGTATATATACTGAAGTGAAATCTGCAACAGAACTCATCGATTGATTTATTGTATTAAAATTAATGAAATATATATATATCATTGAATAATATCAGATGTTGTCATATTATAAAGCTCTCTAGCTACCATATGCATGTACAATGAATCAAACAGGCCATGTCTAAATGGGTGAAGACGTACAATATTAAAGAAGAAATTAATTGGCATGGACCAAATTGTAATACTCGCTCGTCCCAAATTATAATATATTTTTGTGAATATTCTGTATTCCAAATATGATATACTTTGAAAATATTAAGGCTTCATTAAATATGTTTATTCCAATATTACCATTTAGCTCTCTCTATTTAATAATAACTAAATATAGATTTAAGGTTATCAAATAAAAGGTATTTTTGGAAGTTTATATTTTTATTTTGAAAAAAATAATATTGTTTAGTGTATTTAATGAGGTTTATTAGTATATAAGATTTAACTAAGATAATAGAAAGTTTAATGGACATTTATTATGCATTAAATTAAATTATCTAATACTACCAACAAATATAATTTTCTGCAGGTTTGTTTCATAATATTGAATTACTTACAATTAACATAAATTTAATTATGAATGTATAGACATGTTACACGAGCAGGTACTTTCTCTATTTTTATTTATATATTAATTTCAGTATGTTTTATCATAACTAACCAAAATTTTAAAATTTTAACAAGTTTTCAATACTATTCTTATTAAATATACATACTTTTTTACCAAAAGAATATAAATACTTTAAAAAATGATATACCCTAATAATTGATAACCTTCCTAACATTTAATAGGAAAAAGAGGTAAATATAGACACACAAATTATGTATATATTCTATAAATAAAACCAAAACAAATATCTCTCTTTGGTCTATAAATAAGACTACATGAATATATATATATATATATATATATATTCATCAATAACCCATGAGGGAGCTCGTTCACTTCAAGGCCAAGTTATGAGTAACGGCTAGACCTTGGTAAGAAGACATCATATTCTTGGCAAGAGAAAGTGAAATAAAAGTTACAACATAGATGCATGTAACAAGACAAGCTATTAAAAATAGAAATTTCAACACGCGCACACACAAGTGTCTCCCAACCTATTAGTGATTCAGTGTAATTAAATTAATTTGAACTAAGAAAAATAAAACTTTTAGTTCTTGAAATTTTTTTCCCAATTCTCCATCCTTAGACTTCAACTTGAAATAATTCCATCCTTCTTATTAATTTGTAACAAATTAGTCCTTATACTTACTTAACTCAATAAACTACAATGACTGAATTATATTGAATCAAAGTTTAGAAACCAAATTGATAATTAAAAAAATTGAGACTAAAAGTTATGTTATCCCTTAATTAAACTAATTAAGTCCTACTTACGGCCAGGCGGTGAAAGTGATGGATAAGTTGGTGGCAGATTCCAAACCGAAGGCTTGAGATAAGGCAGGCAAGCTGTGCTATAATATCGAGAGCCGGGGGAACGATTAATTGAAGGCTTATTCCTTATTGGCGTTCGCCTAATTACTGGCGGCAACTTCCCTGCATTATCATAAATTTGAACCACGTATTATAAAATAATTCATATATTACACAAGATTTCTTAATTGTGGTAAAAGAAGATATATAGTCTTAGGAAATGATATCAGTTGCTAGGGATGAGCAATTGTACGGGTGGAGAAGAGAAATGAACAAGATTAAGATAAAAATGTTACATCTTAATTCAAAATCATAATATTCTAGTTTATGGGTTATTCATCTTTACTTCTTTAGTCCTATTTATAGAGCAAAGAGAAAAAAAAAATTGGTCTTATTTATAGGGCACTTATCACTTTTCAATACTTTTATTTACATTTTTGCCTTTATTAATGAGATTTAAGAATATTTATTACTGATAAAGGTAAAAACTTGTTAAATTTTAAGACAAAGTTAACGAAGTTTAAAGTTTTCTTTAGTTTTGGTGAAACATGTTAGAAGTGACTTATAAATAGGATTAGAGGGAGTATCATACAATAGTTATTAAGCATAGCTTTATCTAATATGAGACTTCTCATATCTTCTTTTATCCATTCACATTTGGACATCTAACAATCTCTCCCTTCAAGTGTGAGTCTATAAGTTTCCTATATCAAAGACACATCAAACACTAAGTCCTTATTTTAGGGCCAACTTAACTTTTTAGGCTTCAAACGGTGTAGTGCACACAAGTCCATGCTGCAATCAAGGTTAGTCCCATTTTAGGCTTCAAACATGTGCCTGATAACATGATGTATTTTAGGTCCTTGGATTGAAACCAACTCTAATACCACATGTTAGAACACATTATTTTATGTCTACTCATACTTGAATAATTGAACATCAACAAATGGGGCAAAACTTATACAATAATGTCTGGTAAGTAAAAATATTTTTTGAGAAGGAAATGAAAAATGTGCATGCCTCATATATATATATATATATATATATTTAAAAAAAAACCTTTTCCGTCAAGCTATCAAATATTGTGTTAGTTTGTGTTGTTAATTAACTGGGAATGAGAATGCTCGAGCATGAGTGGATGAGGGAAGGAAGTGAATTGTTGAAGCCAAAATTAGAGAAGCAATTAGAATAGCCTTCTTCGTTGTCAAAGATGGAGCAATAGTGCACAATCACTCTTTCAATTTTTGCCTTTTGAATGCTCATATTATACTAAACCATAGTCTCTATTTATAGTCTCGTGAGAGATAAACAAAGTCTTAAATTGTCACTGTTCGTGGTAAACACGGTTATTGTTTGTCATTAAATTAATGTTTGAGGGAGAAAATAATAGTGGCTGAAAAAAGTGATAAAAGAAGTTGCATAGCATGCCAAAATGGTGGGCCAAATAAATTGACAAATTATCATATAAAATTAAATCTATAAATATAAAAATTTATGGGTATCTATATTATATATGTAATCAAATAAACTATATATTTTATAATTATTTTCATTCACTTATAAATCTTCTGAATTTGTCTATATTATGTTGTTCAACGGTTTTCTTTTAAACTTGAAAAATAGTTCTTTTAGAAAGTTGTTTTTTAATTATGTTTTTAAAAAGTTGCAATATCTTACTTTTAAATCATATTTTAATCAAACAAAAAATAATATTAAAAAATTACCACACTCACCCACTTGTGTATCCTTCATTTTTACCATCGCATCTGAGATACCAAATAAGGTAATAATTAAGAAAATTTTTTAAATGGAATCGGCTTATATAAAAATTCTAACGGGTAAAAACAATTAAGAAAAAAATTAGGACTATGAAGACCCATTTTTTGACGAAAGAAAAAAAAAGAATAGGAATAAAACATGAAGATATAAAATATCAGTTAATTTTTAGTCTAGTATCTTGCCACGTTCAATAGGTGATCTGATTTTTAAAAACCTCGAAAATGGTGCATTGATGCTTGATACCATAAGCTAGCTTGGATGATATTATACAATTAATTAACTACAGCTCACAAAAAATTAATTAATTAAAATAATTAATTATATAATCCCTTTATAATTTAGTATATTAGTTATATCTATATTGTTTGATTAAAAAAAAAAGTTATATCTACATTGTGTGTGTGTATACTGAAGGGAAATCTGCAGCAGAACTCATCGCTTGATTTCATGATGAAGCCATAAAACACTGTATTGTATTAAAATTAATGAACTATATGATTGAATCATATCAGATTTTGTCATATTATGAAGCTCTCTAGCTCCCATGTACAATGAATCAAACAGGCCCTGCCTAAATGGGCGAAGTCAAAATTAAAGAAAGTTTAATTGACATTTATTAGGCATTGAATTAAATTATCTAATACTACCAACAAATGTAATTTTCTTTAAGCTCGTTTGATAATATTGAATTACTTAAAATTAACACAAATTTAATTATGAATGCATGGACATCTTACACACACACCCCCTACTTCTTCTGGTCTTTGTTTATATGTTACTTTTAGCATGTTTTGTTAAAATTAAGAAAAAATTTAAACCTCATTAACTTTGTTTAAAACTTCAACAAGTTCCTTATGGTATTCCTATTAAATATTCATATTTTAAAAATAAGCATTTAATAATGCAAAAAGGTAAAAATAGAGATAGAGAGAGAGAGAGAGACAGTGTGTGTGTGTGTGTGTTCATCAATAACACAGAAGGGAGCTTGTTCTTTTCAAGGACAATTCATGATCAACGGCTACAAGTTGGTTGGAAGACATTATTCTTGGAAATTAACAGAAAGCGAAATAAAAGTTACAACATAAATGCACTTAACAAGGCAAGCTATTAAAAATAGAAATTTCAACATATATATGAGCCTCTTCCAACCTATTAGTGTGATTAAATTAATTCAAACTAAGGAAAAATATAACTTTTTTGTTTCAGAATTTTTCTTTTTCAGATTATCAATTCAATCCTTTAACTTTGATTTGAAATAATTGAATCCTTACAGTTTCTTATTAATTCGTAACAACTCAATCCATATACTTGGTTAACTCAGTAAACCATAAGGATCAAAGTTTAAGAATTAAATTAATAATTAAAAAAATTGAGACTAAAAGTTATATTATTCCCTAAATAAACTAACTGAGTAGTGCTACTTCCGCCTTGCTGGTGGAGGTGATGAAAAAGTTGGTGGCAGCTTTCGAAACGGAGGCCTGTGATGAGGCCTATTCCTTATTGGCGTTCCCCCAGTTACCGGCGGCAACTTCTTCCCTGCATTATTATAACTTTAAATTACGTACCAAAACATAATTCATATATTACACAAGATTTCTTGATTATGGCAAAGAGAAAATATATAGCTCTCTTGGAAATGATATTGGTAAAGGTGGCAAAACTTATACGATAATATTTGATAAGTAAGAAAATATTCTCTAAAAAGGAAATGAAAAAATATACATGCCCCATTTTTTTCACATTTTTTTTAGAAAACAGTTTTCCATCTATCAAATATTATATTAATTTAAGCTGTTACCTGGGAATTGGACTCCTCGAGCATGAGTGGATGAGGGAAGGAAGAGAAATGTTGAAGCCAAAATTAGAAAAGCAATTATAATAGCCTTCTTCATTGTGACAGATCGAGCAAGTACTATGCACAACCACTCTTTCAATTTTTGCCTTTCGTATGCTCACATTATAATAAACCATCGTCTTTATTTATAGTGTCATGAGAGATAAATAAAGACTTGAATTGTTACTGCTCGTGGTACACACGGTTATTGCTTGTCATTAAATTTTTTTTTTAAAAAAAATCTAAATTGACTTGGTCGTCGGAAGACTTGCTCGTTCACTTTGAGAATGAAAACAAATTGGATACTTTCTCTCTCTCTAGGAAATTTAGATAACATGCCAAAATGGTGGGACAGAGAAATTGACAACGACTTTGCTTTTTTTGTTTTTTTTTTTTGTTTTTGGACCAACGAACGACGACCATGACTTTAGACCCGGGGGATATTAAGTGACAAAACATATTATCATATAAAATTAAATCTATAAATATAAAAATTTATGTGTATATACAGAGAGTGTGTGTGTGTAATCAAATAAATTATATATTTTATAATTATTTCCATTCACTTATAAATTTTCTGAATTTATCTATATTATTGTTGTTCAACGGTTTTCTTTTAAAATGGAAAAATAGTTCTTTTGGAAAGTTGTTTATTTTAATTAATTTTTTTAAAAAAATTGCAGTCTCTTACTTCTAAATCATATTTTAATCAACCAAAAAAAATAACATTAAATATCAGTAATTTAAATAATTAAGAGCAGGATAAATTTGAAATTATAATCTAAAAAACAAAAAAATAGAATTTTGGCTATAGAAAAGCATAGAAAGTAAATAAAAATTTAAAAAATTACTAAAAATATAAAATAAATTAATTTCTCAAGATGAATGTATAAATATAATTTTGTTTTGGGGAGGAAAAATATCTAATGTGGCAAGAGATACGTTTCCAACAAATGGGAAATTAAATGGAATGGGGACCACAAGGTGCAATTTCGTCAAAGGCTCTACCAATGAGGGAAGGATTTTGATTAGAGGTCGTTTTAACTTCCCATCGATACGAATAAATAATATATGTGTGAACATGGAGCTGTTTTGTTAGTGATAAGATTAAGATAACCTTAACCCTATTTTATATCTATGGTTCTTTATTTTTGTTAAAGAATTAAATAAACATTTGAGAAAAAAGGGTCCCATTCGGAATACTTCCTAGGCTCTTAGGCAACAAATTCACTGCTTCCACAAGTCCTTCTGCAAGAACAAGAGCCCCTTCTTTTTAATGTGGTAGAAATTTAGTTCCAAACTCTTTTGACGTGTGATGAATTAATATTATTATTCTAAGAAAGTTTATTTAAGCCCCATATCAAAGAGCCATGTATTCAGACTTTTTAATTACTGGATGCATTAGATGATTTTTTTTCCCTGGTAAGATTGCATTAGGTGATTTTAACATTTAGACTTTTTTTAAATTAGGATAAATACCAAAAAATTTACATAGCCCAAAATTAGAGGTAAGCATATGTTTTTTTTTTTTGCTATACCACCTTTGAGATATTGAATTTGTCGAAAGTTGATCGAAAAAACCACCTTTGAAGTGGTAATTATTAGCAGGACAATTTATTCAATATTGAATGGTTAAGTGAGCTTCTTCAACCACACAAAAAGATTATGTTATATATTTCTCTCTAATCAATGGTAAAAATTTTTTTGATGTTAGTATGATTTATTCTTAGCTTGTATCTCTAGAAGTAACCGAAATTAAAAGAGATATTAGAAATAATTCGAATTTGAGTAGGTCATAGGAAGACTTACTATATACTCAATGACTTGATAATAACAAAATTTAGATGCTGTTTCTAGGATATTGATCGATAGAGTCAGTGTTAGAAAAAGATGATAGGGAAAGATAATCATTCATCTTAATTTTATAAATTTGTGGAAGAAGGTTAATGCGCTACTTAATTATCTCGATTCCCATTTGTTTTTGATGGACAAGCTGATGCAAATTTATGATTTTTCAATGAAGCCCTGGACGACATCGTTTTAGTAAGCTAATTGCTAAATCTCCTACCCCTTTTTATTAAAACAGTGCAGTTTCGGTGATGAGCTCCTCCTGGTCATCTTTGCGCTTAGCACTGAAACTGTATCCCAAGATTATAACATTCAGGAACAAAAATAAAGCTTTTCCCCTTTTTACCTTTTAAATTTAATTATTATTATTTTTGGTGAGACGTAAGTAGTACGATCTGCCAAGAATGAAATCTAATCTTCCCTGAAATATAGATGGCTTACAATAGACCCCTCACAATTAAGATGCTACATACACAACAGTTGATATTTAAACCTCAAATCACTTCCTTGAATGACGGAAGCAGCTATTAATTATGCCAACCTAAATTGTTTAATTATTGTTTCTATTTAATCACTATGTTCACTTGAGTAAGAGTTGCAGAGAGAAGAAAGAGAAATATTGCAAGCCAAAAATAAAAATCGGTTTTCTTGATGTCAGGAAAATAGTTTTTTTTTTTTTATCAAATTAGTAATCGAGAGAGGAAATAATAGTTGATAAAGACTAGGTGAGATATTCTAACATGGGTAGACCGAAGAAGTTGACGACAAAGACTTTTTATTTTATTTTATTTTTTGATCAAACCACGACCAAGATTTAAGAACGTGTTTGACACTTCTTTTCAGGATAATTCTAGATTCTAGACTAGACTAGATTATTATTTTAAATTAAATAGGTTTAGAAGTGGTTAAGGAAAATTTGAGGATTACCAATTTCAATTATATATGAAGATTCTTTCCTTGAAGAATAATAAATATGAATAGATTGAAATTTTGGATGAAAAATAAAATTAGCTTATGACAATAATTTTTTTTGTTTTATTTTTGCTATATAAGGGATGAGTTTTAATGTTTGTATTATTATATACATATTATACAGATACAACAGTTCCCTTAAAAAATTTTCTAATAATTTAATAGTTGATTTTTTTTTCACCCTGAACATATTGAGAGATGCTAAGTTTATGATTTGGACACAGTAAAAAAGATATTTTAAAATTTAAAAGTTCAGAAAAATACTTTGAATTTAATTTTTCTTTTTAAATTCAATAAGTTTTTTAGATAATAAATTTCGTGATTGGATAAGGCAGAGATAAACGTAATTGGCACGCCACAAGCCAAGGTTCAGAGTAATTGACTATACAATACATACAAATCAAACAATATTTGAGTTGGGTCTTTAATGGTTTATTTAATTATTTAGATTGTATGGCAAGTTTTGGTTGGAAAAGTGCTCGTTATGATATCCACCACCACCAACAAAATATTATTCTTAGTGGTGATATTTTGAACGCATATATTTATAAAGATGGGGTCATGTCTTACTAATTGAACCAAGTTTTGCTGGGGAAAAATATTTATATCAAAAGTTACGTTCCATGTTAATTAAATTATATATTGTAATTAATTCTATTATATTATTGGTTTTGGATTTAGATGAGCGGTGTGTATTCAATAAGAGGCATTCTTAATTAAATATTAAGTTGTTAAATAAAAATTTCATGTTATAGTTACATATATAATATTTTAGAGTTGAAAATGACTGTAGAAATAAAAAAGTTATCGTATATTTTCTTAAAAATCTTTTAAATATTTTTTAAATAGAAGACGACGGAGTAAAGCTTCTAGGTATGTATTATATAAGATAAAGAATCAGACGTCCAAGATTAATTTTAAGCTACAAATCGATTATTAGGATGAACTTATACCATTTATCATCGAATCCAAATTCATTTGCTTTCTTTTCTTTTATTTACTTTGCGGTCATTCCTTCACTTGCATTTTTAAATGTTTTTCCTTTTTACATTTTCCCAAATGAATTGCTCGAATAACATTAGGATAATAAAATAAAATAATGCAACCAAAGCATAAAATAAAAACGCACACAATAAAATTACAGATAGATGAGGAACTTTATTTATTAATTAAACTGACTCATAATAAATTATAAGCCAGCAGATACAATCTTCTTCATCTCAAGTACAATTAACACAGGCATGTAAATTTAACAACCTGATCTCACAGTTCATAGAATTCATGAGCAACATACACCTTGACTTCCCCATGAAACCTAGTAATTAAGGAAGACATTATTCTTCAGGAGAAATGATAAGAGACAAAAAGCTGCACCAACGTAAAAGTTTTATGCGAAAAGCGTATTTTTAAGAGACAGAGTTATGACAGTTAAGTCTTAAATTATTAAATTAATGATAATTAAGTTACCAATAAAAATTTTTAAAAATTGAATTGCAAATATTAATTCAGACAATTATAAGCAGAAATCTCAGATATATTCTGATGAGAGTTACACTTAAATTTGCAACTACTTGAATCAATTTTGCAACTCATTTTTTTAAAAAAAATTGTTGAGTACCTAACTGTTATTAATTCAATATTTTTGAAATCCAACTGTCATTCTTCCTTTGACTAAATGTACGTACCATTAGTCATGTATTTCTTTTTGCTGCTACTTATTACAACCACGGGTATAGATAGGGCAACGCTCTTTTGTAACTTTTGGAGGATTTGCAAGGCAAGATTGATAAGAAGAACCAGGAGGACATTTAACTGCAGGATTGTTCTTATCATTTGTTGGCGAGGTGACTGTCTTTGAAACTTCTGCATATTATCATATAATATATACGTATGTATTACATCATCAGTTTAATTGACAGAAAATTAAGAATATATGATTAATAATTTGTAACTCTCATAATAATTTCATGATTTGAAAAGCTAAGGTAGCAAATTAAAATAAAGGAAATTTCAAGGTGTTACCATATAATCCACGAGCATGAGTGGAAGGAGGAAGGAAGAGAAATTAAGCAAAAATGATGAGAAAAGCAATTAGAATAGCTTTCTTCATTGTTTCAGAGAGCAATACTGAAAGTGAAAACACTAACAGGTATATCTCAAGATCCTTTTGGTATGCTCCTCACAATTAACACTACTCTTCATATTTATTTATAATCTCTCTAGGGAGAGAATCGAGGTTGAATGTGTCAACAATAGTTGATATGGTGCAAATATTTCATTTTCAGTAATTTGCATTATTAAATTTCATTTTTTGTATATTAATTACGCTTATTGATGGCATTATTTAATACATAATTCAGTCACATGCGCGCGCGCGCGCTCTTGGTATATTCAAACTTTGCAAGTTGATAGGGAAAAAATAGAGATATGAATGTGATGAGAAATTATATATTTATTTTTATAAAATAATAAAAAAGGAAAAATGATATTGAGTAACAATAAGAACAGTGTAATTTTTTTATAGGATATAAACAATATAATAAAATGGTCATGGGAAAACTAATGTGAAAAATTATAATTATTGAGAAGTTTCCTTTATTTATTACTGAAATGTTTTAATATGATACTTTGAGTATTTCTATTTTTTTTTTCAAATAATACAAAACATTGCTTCGCATTAAAACAAGTGGAAATTTTCTAGGTCTTACAAAGAATTGTACCCTGACTTGTATGTACAATACGTGCCGGCGTTTTGATGATTTCAACTTCGTTGAATTATGTTTATGGATGCGTACATATATAATATCAGTTCTAATTTAGTAGAAAAATATATTATATTTATAATATGAAATCTTTTTTCATGAAGTTGAAATTTTAATTTTTTATATTTAAAAGTTTAAAAATTTAAGATTTCACAATGTAATTACTCTTCAAATTTTCATTTACTTAATTTAATGAGAGATATATTATTCTATATATGGGAAGTTTTGTAAAGCTGAACAAAGGAATAAAACAATGTCTTTTTAAAGAAATTGTGTTATTTTTCATTTAACAGTCAACACATGAAGGGAACTGTTCTCCAAATAATTCAGATAATTTTACAAAGTTTTGGGTGGGGGGTGTTATTTCGCCCCCAATTTGGTCCAGGAAATGACAATGTGTTAATTAAAGATGGTGATGTTATTTTAACAAAAAATTACACAGTGCCAGAGAAGGTAATGACAAGAATTTCAAGTAAAATACCAATTGTACAAAACGAAATTATCTGTGGTGGAAGAACTTTATTTCTTAATTAGACTCACTTACAACTTAATTATAATCACTTCAATTACATGGAGATGGGCCAGAAAAACACGCAGATATGCATTTTACTCGCTACAAACAATAATAAATACTAATAGTAAAAACATAATAAATATTGTACAAATGATTAAATAAAAGCTACTCCCCCCATTCAAAAATATAAGATATTTTTAAAAGAGTTGAATGTTCAAAAATATGAAGCATTTTTTATATTTTGAGGTGTAATCATTGCTTTTTTTCAAAAGTGTTCCTATTGATAATGACTTTATATTTATTGTAAGGTGTTTAATAGGGATGAATATGAAAAGATAAGGTTAATTTGAAAGTAGGTAACTGCTTTATTGAGATCGATTAGAAATACCTTATATTTTTTAACAGAGAGAGTAAGTTTTATCAATAATTGTAAACCATTGTCTATACCAGCAGTACATCTCACGCTACCTTTATCACATGAGTAAACTTCATATGACTATGGAAAAACAATTACTGAGCAAAATAATGTTTTTGGAAATTTTGTGTGTGTGTGTGTGCAAACTTAGGGGTGTAACCCGGTTCGGTTCTAGTTAAAAAAATGCATTCTAAAAAAACAAAAAACAAAATGTATTCTAACTTGTAATTTAAGATAATATATTAATTTTTAAGCTTATAGCATAATATATCTTATTTTAAGCTTAAAAGATTTCTCATTATTGTATGCCTTATGATATTGTTGAAAGATGATACTTGAAATATATGAATCCTTCTTTGCTGAAAAAAATGAATGAGTTTCATTACCCAAAATTTGAATGTGTATATTAAACCTAAGTCTTGGTTTAAATGAAGAGAAAAGTAAAAAGGAAAATATGGAAAAGAAAAAATTAGAAAGAAAATTTTCAAAAAAATAGTAAACTTTTTTTTTAGTATTTTTGGAAGTTTTTCCTTATAGTTGCCCCAATTTTTCTCTCCAATTCCATCCAGAGTGGAGAATTTATTAGTCAATTTACCCTTTCCTTTTCTTTATCATAGACCTAAACCTAAAAGAGTATAATTTATTCTTTCATTTTTTTCTCAATAATACAAAAAATGCAGAACGTGAAAAAAGTAGAAAGGAGAATTGACGAGGTCGCACAAAGGCTTGCCCCTTCGTTGGATTATAAAAGATCTTACTCATTGACCTGAGAAAGAAAACAAGTGATCAATGATATTATCAAAAAAGAAAAAAGAAGAAGAAGAAAAAAAAGAAAAGAAAAAAAGAAAACAAGTGATGTGAGGTTATTTTCAAGAAAAGGCTTAGAAAATCACCGAGTAAATGTGGGTCCCATTTATTCCAAAGAGTATTAAATACGTGGGCGATATTGTTTAAGACCCCAAAACGATGCAGCTTGTATAGATTTGATGTGCTCCAATGGCCGATATGGATTGATGATCTATTTAATATAATAGATAATCAATACATTTAAAATAGTATTACAACAATATAATATTTTCATGTAGTTAAAGTTTGTTTCACCATCCAAGTTTTTGTTGTTTTTCTTACTATAAACTCAAAAAGTATTTGAAATAATTAAAATTTTAAAAAATTTTAATAAAAAATTCTTTCCTAATATTTTTCAAATATTATTTAATTTTTACAAACAATAATTATTGTTAATACATTAAAATATGTTGTTTAGCAAAAAAGTATACTTTAGCAAAAAAAATAAATAAAGACCGCTTTGATCCGTACAAAATGAAGAGCACCCCTATGCCTCTTCGTCAATTTTTTATAATAAGATCAATATATAAGTAAGTAAATATAAAGTTGCAATTAGAAATTCATCACTAAAGTAAAGTGTTAAACAAAGACATTAAGGCCATCTAGACACGCAAATTGTGACTTTTTTGAAATCGTTGATGAGAGAAATAGGGCGGAAAAATCCAGTTGGTGAGCAAAGAAATTCTTTCTAAAGCATAAGATTTTCAAAGATTTATTTGGAGATTTTGTATTCTAAGAATCATTCCAGCAGTGCATAATCCATAAAATAACACTTTTGAGACAGATCAGAGTGAAAATTCAACATTCAATTGCAGAGGACTTGCAGAATGTGATTGAAAAAATATTCGTCTTTGAATAAGATGATGACTTGACAATGGGTGAGATTACTCTTTTTTAATTTTTTTTAATCTTGATATACCTCTTTATTAATTAGCTTAGGTGGAATTTCAATGTCACTTTTTAGTATTTTTGTCATATTTCAATAGAGTTTAAATATATAAAAATATTACAATTTCTTAAAACAAATTGAGTTACTGTAAAATATAAAAATCTTGAAGTAATCCATGGCATAAAAGATATTTTGAAGTTATATGTGGTTCAGAGCTCAATTCATGTGTGCCACTTATCTCTTTATAGATAAGCACGTCCATCAAAATCAAAAGTATCAATCATGAAAGAAAACTACTGATCAGAGGCTTTATGCGTTCCATTAATAAATTTTAGATATTAGACCAACATGCATGATTTCTGGTTAAAAAAAGAAAATCAATATGTTTGATCTTTGAAAACTTTTAATTTAATTACACACCCACACATATTCTCGACTCAACATAGAGAGAAGATATATAGTTTCAGCGAAGATTAAAGACCATATATTTTTATAATTTCTCACACGCACTTAAAATTACAAATTTGTACAACACATAGAACTCATCATAAGCAACGTAGAGCTATATATATAGTTGTTGCTGATGAGGAAGCCAATAAGTCTGAGGAAACCGAGATTATTCTTCGAAAGAGACAAGTGAAATCAAAAGCAGCAGCAACATATACATACACATGACCCAGAAATTAAACAGTCTTAAGGACAATTATATATTGCATACAGGACCCCGCCGGAAGATATTATATTGAAACAGGACAATTATTTCATGATTATTGGATGATTAAAAGAGAGTTTCAACAAACCAAAGCAAAGGATCATTTGTATTATTTAATTGAGAAAACACAATCATTAGTTCCTATAATTTTATCATATTTTTCTTTTAATCCCTATATTTTTTCAATGTTTTTGATCCTTATAGAAACTGAAAATACTGAAACTGTAGGGATTTTAATAACAAACGTTACCTAATCTTGTTAAAACTATAGGGATAAAAAATACTGAAAAATTATAGGGACCAAAGACAAAACCTAATGAAATTATAAAGATCAATGATTGTATTTTTCCTATTTAATTCCCTGGTGGAGAGAGCCACGTACATGATTGAGGGCTTGGAGGGTACATCTTTAGGGGATTAATGTAACGACCACCAGTACATGAAATTGCAGGCTTATCCTTTGCAGTTTCCCCAATAATCGGCCCGGACTGCTTGCTGCATATTGTCATCATAACGAATGCACATAATTACTACATAACTCAAAAATTTCTTATCTTGGAAAAAAAAAGAGAAAGAAATCTTAATCATGGCTATTGAAGATATATACTCCATCCATTTCAAATTATAAGATATTTTTTAGACAAAATCTCATATGTCAATAAATCTCATTAAATACATTTAATAATTGTATTTTTTTAAAATATAAACTTTCAAAAATATAATTCATTTAATATATTGAAAAGAGAGAATGATGAAAATTAAAGTGATCGAGAAAGAGAGAGAGAGAGGGGGGGGTAATAGTAAAATTGAATTCATCATTAGAAAGTTTCTTCTCCTATTCCCCTCTTACCAAATAACAGAAAAATAAAAGACAAAAGCAAAATGGAAATTGGGTTCTACAATTACATTCTAGAAGTTGGCAAAAAAGACGAAGAAGAAGTTATTTATTGTCATCACTAGTCCTTTATTAGAAAAGAGAAAGCAAAGTTAGAATTTAGGCCTTGTTTTGTGAGCTATAATGGATTAA